CACAGTTCTGGAGACTGGGAAAGTACAAGATCATGATATCAGCAGACTCTGTGCCTGGTGAGGTCCCACTTCCTGGTAGATGGCACTTTCTCACTTCTCCTCACAGGGAAGGGTGAGCTAGCTCTCTGGGCTCTCTTTTAGAAGAGCATTAATTCCAGTTAAGAGAGCTCCACCTTCATGTCCTGCTGACCCCACAGAAGGCTCCATCTCCTAGTACCATTACCTCAGGGCTTAGGATTTCAGTGTATAAAATTTGGGGGGTGGGGGTGGGAAACCCATAGCAACCATACATGTAAATTCTATTATATTGCCTGGCATAGGGTAAGTGCTCAAGAAGTTAATAGATTGCTCCACCCAGATGAAAGCTTTTGCCACTCTGGGCAGCTGCTTGAGAGTGAAGAAGCATAGCTCTCCTCCAGGGAGAGAAACCCATCCCTCTCTCTCTTGCTTGTCAGGGGAAATCTCTTTCTCAGGTTAGGTCGAGCGTTTCCTTCCTTTTCTGGTCTCTTTTAGTGTCCAACTCAGAACATCTGTTCAGAGGGACTAGAAACCCCTGTTTTTCTCCCTAACCATACACAAACGCACAGATGCAATGCAGGTAAATATTACCTGAGCCACAAAAGCCAAGACCAGAATCACTCCTGGTGATAAAGGAGGAAAAACAATTCCATGTGATACATTTATTTGGACGATATATTTATACCAGATTTCAGTTGCTGGATCACAGTGCCTGTGTATATTTTATTTTGTTCATTTTTGACAGATTGCTTATCAGAATGGTTTCAGTTTACAATTCCTCCAGCAATGTATGAGAGTTCCTTTTTCCATACATTCTCAGCCAGATTTTTACCATTTCAATGGGAGCCAACTTAACTTGTATTATGTTAGAGCTTGTGCATCTCTTCACACACTTGTTGGATATCAGGACAATCCTATTATTGAATTACTTATTCAACTCATTTTCTTATTCTCCAATTGGGATGCTCATTGTTTTCTTATTGGTCTGTATAAATATTTTGTAAAGATAGATATTTTCTAGTAGTCTCTTATTTTTCTATAATCTTTGTCTATATATTTCTTTAACAGAAATATATAATGTATAGTGAAATACACATATTTTACTCCTTTTCTTTTTAATGTAAGGATACTATTTAAGAAAGTTCCATTTTGCAAAAATATTTTCCTTCCTGTTATTGTATCAACAGCGTGGTTTGAGCTTTCAACTGCGCTTTTATCCATGTAAGGGCCATCTTTTCATGTGATCCAATGTAAAAGCCCAAATCTATTATCCTCTATTTAGTAAGTATGTCTTACCAATATTATCTAATGAAACAAATCTGTTCCTTTTTGTTTCTCTATGATGCTATCTTTGTCATATATCAAGTTCCCAAATAAATACACTCATTTTCTGAGCTGCTCCTTGGCCCGGCATTGTAATGTTTTTAATACTGTGATTTGGACCATGTCAATCTAGCAGAGCAAGTCAACGGTCCTTGTTTTTTTGTTTCAAAATGAGCTTAGGTATTCTTGGACATTTGTTCTTCTAGGAAATTCTGGAAGGAGCTCATTGCATTCTTCAAAAAGTCCAGTTGGAATTATAATTATGATTTCATTGAATCTATTTGTAGAATAATTTAGGTAGATTGATGTATTTCCACTGTTTTTTTTTTTAAAATCTGTGAACATAGTACATTTCTGTTTATCCTGATCTTGTTTTAATTTCTTTGATATAGATTTAAAATTTAGAGAATTTTCTGGAGACTTGATTTTATGATTCCCAGAAATGATTCCTATCTGCTAAGTTGATCATTCCAGTCAGTGAGGAGGCAAAAGGAATACCAGAAGGAAAACTTTTCCTGAGCATGATTGGCTGAGAGTTGTGCTGCATGTCTAGTGGTTAGGAGCTAGCACAGTAATTGAGAAAGAGGGCTCTGAGGTCAGAGTGTCTGCGTTTGACTCCTGGCTCTACTCCTTACTAATTTGGGCAACAAAGTAACCTCAGTTTCCTCATATGTAAAAAGAATACAATAATATTGGCTAGCTCACAAATTTGTTGTGAGGATTAAAAAATAATATTGGCTAGCTCACAAATTTGTTGTGAGGCAGAATGAATGTAAAGTACTTGGTACAATGCTTGGATTATGGCAAACATTCAAAAAATCTTAGCTACTAAAAACAGTAAGCATATCAGGCCACAAGTGTCAAGGCCCTGACCTATAGCCTTAATCATAGTAAGTACCTCTCCTTTTAGAAATCAAACCCAGGGCTGGGCACAGTGGCTCATGCCTGTAATCCCAGCTCTTTGGGAGGCGGAGGCAGGCGGATCAACTGAGGTCAGGAGTTCACCACCATCCTGGCCAACATAGTGAAACCCTGTCTCTACTAAAAACAGTAAAAAATTAGCTGGGTGTGGTGGCGCTTGCCTGTAATGCCAGTTACTCGGGAGACTGAGGCACGAGAATCACTTGAACCTGGGAGGTGGAGGTTGCAGTGAGCCGAGATCACGCCATTGCACTCCAGCCTGGGCAATAGAACGAGACTCTGTCTCAAAAAATAATAATAAAAAAAGGCCGAGTGCGGCGGCTCACTCCTGTAATCCCAGCACTTTGGGAGGCCAAGGAGGGCGGATCATGAAGTCAGTAGATGGAGACCATCCTGGCTAACACGGTGAAACCCCGTCTCTACTCAAAATACAAAAAAAAATTAGCCGGGCGTGGTGGCGGCGCCTGCAGTCCCAGCTACTTGGGAGGCTGAGGCAGGAGAATGGTGTGACCCGGGAGGCGGAGCTTTCAGTGAACCGAGATCGCGCCGCTGCACTCCAGCCTGGACAACAGAGCGAGACTACGTCTCCAAAAAATCAATCAATCATCAAACCCAGGCATATCACACTGCCTAAGGGGCTCACCTTCCACCTTATACAAAGAAAATGGGCACTTGTCTCCAGTAACTGTTGATGCCAACAAATATTGTCACCCTTAAGTAGGTATTTACATTAATTTATTACCATAACGGTACATTGGTATTTTTTATTTTTCCTAGTCAGATGCCTGATATTAGTATCTATTTAAAAGGAAAGGCCTGGCTGGGAACGGTGGCTCAGGCCTGTAACCCCAGCACTTTGGGAGGCCGAGGTGGGCGGATCATGAGGTCTAGAGATAGAGACCATCCTGGCCAACGTGGTGAAACCCCGTCTCTACTAAAAATACAAAAATTAGCTGGGCATGGTGGGCATGCCTGTAATCTCGGCTATTCGGGAAGCTGAGGCAGGAGAATCGCTTGAACCCGGGAGGCAGAGGTTGCAGTGAGCCGAGATCGTGCCTTTGCACTCTAGCCTGGCAACAGAGCGAGACTCCGTAAAAACAAACAAACAAACAAAAACAAGGAAAGGCCTAATTTGTTTTCCTTGTCCTAGACTTCTGAGTCTAACTCAGATTTACAAAGGCTTAAATCAAACAGAATGCACTGAAGTTTTCTGATGCTTCTTAGGAGGTATCAACATTTCCCAGCTCATGCTAATTTATATATCTACAGTTCCTTATGATATACAAAATATGTACATCTATTTACTTATTGTATTCCCCAAGATGCATTTTTGCATGCAGATGTTTCATTACGTGGATAAATGAACTAAATTTCAGAGAACTTAAGTAACTTGGCCAAGGTTAAGTAAATAGCAGTGTCAGAATTAAGCCCTGAATTCTGCTTTCCTCACTTTTAATATTATGAACTTTCCGTTTTCTCTTCGGTGTTAGGGAGAAGCATTCAGTACAAATCTTCAGGACTCTAAACACTTAAAAAGGTCCTTCCTGAAATGACAACTGACAGTGAATTCTAGGGTCAATCTGAAATGTGATTTTTAGAAAAAGATCCCAGAGAAATTCAATTAACTGGTAGGGACATGCCATCCCTAACTTGGGCCATATCTACCAAATCTATTTTTAAAGACTGACTTTTAGTATGCCAAACATTCTATACCACTGAGCTCTATCACACAGATTTCTAATTGGTTTGTATGACAAGAGATTGTGATTTAACTCTCTCATATATTTGGAAGGAAAGCTTTTCTTCTCTTCCTTTTGTGATTATACTGCAAATCTCACAAAACCAGCCAAGCCTGAAAAATCCAGGAGCTTATTCTTGAACTCCATGGCTCAATAAAGATGCACAACCTAGAGTTATTTCTGAGACCCTTAAAAATATGTCTTGTGTTGGCTGAAGTTTGACACAGGAGGGCACACAGCAGCATGCCAAAATGATACCGTTTGGATCCTTTATTATAATATATATATTTTTTCTTTTTAAGTCAGACCACACAAAGAATCATTCAGCTAGAGCAAAAGCTCTTCAGCAGATTTCAGAACTGCTTAGGAAACTGTCAGAGTGGACCTATCAGTATGAGAGCCACAGTCAGAGCAAATGCCACAGGGTGTGTTCGACCAGCATGATGAACACCTTCCTTTTCCCCAGATGCTCAGATGGCTGCGTGGCTCGGGGCTGTGTTTTCTGAAGTTCTAATGCAACCCTCCCAAGGCCCCATGAACCTGTTAACTGGATCAGGTTTTGCTGGGTCCTTTCATGAATAGGCAGAAGCACCGGCTCTGTGAATTGGAGGTGGCTTCCTTGCTTCCAAAGTCATCATGCAGAGTGTCCTGATAGCATGGGAACATCTCAAGTGTAGCCAGCAGAGTAGACGCTTCATTTTTAAGCCCTTGCTAGAAGGCAGAGAAAGGGGAAGTTTCTTCAGTGCTTAGCAGTCTGCTCCTCCCACTGATGAATTTTTAATCACACATTTTCCTCCCTTAAGTTAAAATTGATAAAATCTCTATACATGTGTCATGTTTGACAATTGATAATCACGTTGAAAAATAACAATATTGTTGACTATACAAGGCAATTTCTTCAAATTGAGTAATGATGTGATGTGTGTGGTTAACTGTCTCTACCCAGGAAGTGGTTTTATTTAAAAGTTTTGTGCTCACCCCACCCCCCGCCTTTTTCTTCCCCCAGTACTGAAATTAAGCAGCATCCAACACAGGCCTACTCTTACGACATGTGACTTTACTGTTTTCCGTTTTTGTTGAAAGAGTCATTAGCAGTTAGGAGTTGATGGCAGTTTCAATAACAGGTCATTGCCGAGAAAAGGTAAGTTTTAACTTTATGTTGTACATGAAATTTAAACTTGAACATGTTTGGCAGAGTTTCCTACGTTTTGGTGTGAATGTACAAACATTTCTACAAAATATGATGCTTTTACCTGTGCTTAAAACATGGACTGGTTTCCTTTGGCGTAGAAAAGAATATTCTTTACATATTTGCAGCTGTCAAATTCCAATGTCTCTTACTAAAATATTATAATAATAAGATGATTTGCTAAGATTTTGTACTAAAATGTTAAAGACAGAATAAGGTATACAGTTTTAGTTTGAAGTGCATTTAAAAATGACTACTAGAAAAATGTGAGACTTTGCACCTTTAACCAACTGTTTTATAAAAATACGTATTGTTCAACATCCAAATAAGGAAAGAGAAAGAGGCATTTTATAACAGTGAGAAACAGCTTGAATTTCAGTGTGAAAGATACTCACTCTAAAGCATTGTATCAATGTTAGCATTAAAAGCCCTTAAAAGGTTAATATGTAGCTAATTAAAAAGCAAAGAGATTTTAAAATGTAAAGGAATACTGTCTATCATGACACTTGAAAATTTTTTTTCTAAATTTCATTTAAGATATAGGGTGAAATGAGGGTAAGTTTCTAATTCATAAGCAAAATTTTACATTTAGAAAAGAAGTCACAGCTGATTTCATTAAAGGTTACTCTGAGAAGAGAGGCAAATTAGAGGTATACTTTTGTTATTTATGTAATTATATAATTTTCCTTCTTTGAAATATTCCAAAATAATAAACCTTACAAATGAAAAGGATTTGTTAGTCATAAACAGACGTAATTTCCTTTTATATTGACTTCTTGCTTTTACAGAATGTCTTTGTGTGCTGTAACATGTGTGCAGAAAACATCAAAATATTGCTAATCTCAGAGACAAATACCTAAAATAAATCTGACTGTAGATTCTTGAAAGAATTTTAATAAAAGCCCAAGATATGATCCATTCTTCCCTAATATTATTTTTATTGTGCTATTGGATGGGATAAGTGATGGCCCCCACAACACCTATTTTTTTGTGTTATTAAAGAATGGTTACAGGGTTGATAAGTGGCAACAATTTTCTTTTCTTTTATTGTCTTCTATTGAAAAACACACATAAATGTTTTTTGACATGGTCAATTTAGTAGGAAATTATTAGGCATACTAGTACACTCCATTTCAAGACCTCTTCAATTGTCAATACTGAAGCTATCTACTTGTTGACTATTAAAATGATCACAGAAAAATAGAGATTAGAACTTGGTGTTCAATACACTTTTTATTGTTAGAGTGTAAGAAGACCTTGGTAATATGTATTTGCTTTGATATTCTGATTAGATTTTCAATTTGTTGCATTTCCTCACAATGGAAAGCATTATTTAAATCTGTCTTCAATATTGTGGTTCTGAACCTCTGCATCTATAGAAGCTGTATAATTCAGATAATTTTGGTTGATATGTTATTACTTTATTTCATTTTATTATAAAAGAATATCAAATGAATAAACACATGCAATACTTCCATGTTAGCAAGAATGAATATGCAGATAAACATCTGGAATTGGAGAAAAGTCCATGAAAATTTTTTAAACTGTTTAATGCTTTTAAGAAACAAATTCACTGTAAAAATGAGTAGTTTCTTGCAGAAACTGTTAAGTTAAAATACACATATTTTATGGAATATGTGTAAAATTAAGAATGAATTGAAGTGAACTTGATGAAACTGTTAAATTAAAATATACATATTTTATGGAATATGTGTAAAATTAAGAATGAATTGAAGTGAACTTGATATGAATTTAGAAAGATCAATGAGTAAAGATGATAGGTAAATTAAAATACCTTCAGAATTGTTTGTAAAATGCAGTAATGTACAGACCAAATTTTAAGACAGTTAATTGCAAATAAGTTACTATAGAATTCTATTACTTTATGTGTTTTAAGTGGATGAGTCAGAAACAAGTTTTGATGAAATGAAAATAATACACAATATTTTATTTGGAAAGTCATATTAAAGCTGATTTGCTCAGAGAATGTCGTCCTTTTCCACTTGGGGCCAGCATTCAGCAAGATTCAGAAAGGAGAAAATCTTTCCTTGATATTCCTCCTGTTGCTCCTTTTTAATACTTTCTTCTGGAACAGCCTGCTCTGCTCCTAATTTAGAGTCTCATAACCTTGGTACCTAGAAAGATAGACCCTTCCATTCAATGGCTCCTTCCAATCACTTGAACTTTTAAAATGTACTCATCCCATTTTCCAGCACTTAGGAATCTAATAAAAATAATCCACACTTATAGGAGAAGGCTACAGAGCTTTGACTTCCTAGCCAGGCCTCCCTTTCTCCTCCCAGTGGAATTTCAATATGTTCTTTCAGCAGACAGGGCCCAAAGGATTAGCTAAATGTTGGATCTCAAGTGAGGATACTGATGCCATGGTAAATGGTTGCGGGAAGACTTTAGAGGGAGAGTGTTTTGTTAACCATTAGTCCTGCCTGTGATGTTTAAACACAGAATTTCTGAAAGTGTCTCATATGAAGGATCTATCCCAGTGATGTATCCATTTCTTTAAGATATTCCTGAATAAAGAAACGCCTTTCTTGCAGCAGGTAAAAAAAATAATTGCACTACATTTTCAGGCAATTTTGATATTCCCATACACTTAGAAATTATTTAACATAATTAGTTTTTAATAGCTGAATTTTTAAAAGTTATTGAACACTCTGCATTTAATTCTTTGGATACCAAAAGCAAATTTTTTACACTGTACAATAAATGCTACATAATTAGACTTTAAAATGCCCTTGTAAGTATTCTAAATTTCAGCGTAGAGTGGGCAAATCTTCTTTGTTTGCAAATGATAGAAAATGAGTTCAAATTAGCCTAGGCAAAATAGATATTCTTTTATGCGTGAAAAGTCCAAGGACAACAAAGTCAGGAATGGCTGGATCCAGGAGCTCACACAGGATTATTAGGAGTAGGTCTCGTTTTTTTTCATTCCTCAGCTCTTCTTTTCACTGTGCTGTAAGCAGTCTCTAGTGGAAGCTCTCACAAAATTGTTAAGCTACTACTGATCCTTTCAACAAACTGTGGGGAAAGAATGCCTTTCCCCGATCACCACAGCAAAGTGTCAGATTTAGATCTGATAGGACTAAATTGGATCACATGACCATAGCTGAACAATTACTGAACGTGGGTGCAGACAGCCTGCATGACCATGCCTAGCTCACAGGCCCACTCCTGCACTGGGGTGCAGCATTTGGACTCTCTGCTGAAAACAGGAGTTTCCTGATGTGGAAATTAAAATGCTTTCCCCAGAAGAAAGGACAAAAGCCTCAGAATTCTACTACAGAGTCACATATGGTCCCATTTTAAATAATCATTATTTCCCAACTTCTTCAAATTCCATAATTGTATAAAAATACAGTTTTAATTTAAAGGCAGATCTCACTGAAACATGAGTTTTAATTAAACTAAATTTAAAAATATTTTTCAACAGCTACTGTATGTTTGACAACTCCTCACAACATTTGCCTTCTAAAAGCTTGTAATCTAGAGTGACTATTATTTTAATAATTATGACGCAAATAAAATTTTTCAAGTACCATAAGAAGATACAGAGAACGCTCTATTAGGGTTCAGAAATTCATCCAGCATTTTTGCATCCCTGTTATTTGCCGGGCCATAAACTAGAGAATTTTGTAGGTGTTGTATCATCTGATCACATACTTTCAGGAAGTTCTTGACAGTTTTGGAGGAAATTTTTGTGTAGTTTTCAGGGAAATCTAGCACTGGGAAGATGAGAAACATTGCAAAGGACAGGAAGGAAATGTGTCAAGGCACAAAAACATTGAGTGTCAGAGAATTCCAAGGCAGTGTGAATTCTCCAGTTTTGTTAGATGGAAGTATAGTAATAGGAGGTAAGGCCAGAAAGATAGTGTGAGATCATAAATAGAGTGGACCTGGATATAAGTAACGACAGGGTTCTTGAGCAGGGGAAATACATAATTGGATGTCCACACTTTTACATCTTGATGGGTTGTCTATCTAGGGTCAGGATTTATTTGTTTCTTCCATTTATCTCACTGTGAAGTGACATTCTCTTTGCAGAAGAGTTTGAGGTCAGTGGAGATATTTCTGTAAGGACAGGCACTGACTTATCTGTTCAGGTGCCTGAGGTTCTTATTCAGGTTATGGTTATAACCATCTATTTCTTTCATTTGATGAAGACCTTTTGTTTTGTTTGCTTTTAATCCGAGAATAGATAATATAGCGAGATGGTTCAAAATCAACAAAAAACCTAAATACAATGTTTTTAGATAAATTATTTCTTAAATTTTTATTTCTATCTATCCCATTTATCCCCATCTTAATCCAACATAACCACTTTTCATATGTTTTATATATTTTATACTTCACAGTTTATGCAAAAACCATATATATATGCACATCTATGTGTGTATGTATATAGCATAACTGCATGCACCTCTCCACTTTGCTTTTTTTCTTTTAGAAATATAGATTAGAGATATTTTATAATAAAACTAAGAAACTAATTCTCTTTTTTACAGCTATATAATATTCCACTGTATGGAAATATCATACTTAATTTAACCAGCCTCCTGTAAAAAGATTGATGGATGTTTTCAAGTTTTTCTAATTCAATGAATGTCGGTGTAATTGTTTCCATTTGAAAATCTATCTATCTATCTATCTATCTATCTATCTATCTATCTAATCTATCTATAACAAATTTCCAAAAATAACATTTATGAGACAAAGGATAAAATAATTTTGATAGTTGTTGCCAAACTGTCCTTCATGTTATTGGTAACTTTTTGAACTTCCACCAGCACTTAATGAGAATGCGTACAGAAGCTCCATTGCTTTTTCACGGGATTGCGTTGCTGAGCTTTTCAGGTTTTGCCAGTCTCTAACAACTATATCTCAACACAGTGTTATTGGTATTTCTGCTATTATGGTTAAAATTGATTTTGTTTTTA